TAATATTAAAACGTTCACCGACAAAATGAACAAAACAAAAAAAAAAAAAAAACAAAATAAAATATTAAAAGAAAAAGACTAAAATGGGGACATAAAAATGAAAACGAAAAAAGAAGAAAGTTTACTATCGCTTGGTGCATAATAAAGATAAGAAGACTAATTAAAATAAATATACAAAAAAAGAACAACCAGGCAGATAGCAGGAAGAAAAAAAAAGAGCAATTTAGAAGAGAAACTAGCAAAAATTGTTACATTAATCAACAATAAGAATTTAAGATTTTCTAGTTTAGAACTATTTTAATGTAATTTGATTAAAAACTAATCATAAACTTTAAATTATGTTCATAATTTAAATAAACAACTACAATATTATATAAATTCATTCATTTTAAACGTGATTCTGTTGTGGCTTCATGTACGTATGAGTATTGAAATAAATTATTTGCTTAATATTAATCATACGTATTGTTGGTCTTGTATTTTGGTTTTAAATTATAATCGTTCGATTTATTTTATCCACATGCTTGCAAACACATACATATATATATATTAATTTTTGTAATACATTGTGGAAATTGTAACCAAGTTTTTATATATAATAATTTTAACCCCTACGTGGTTGTTGAAAATACAACAATCTATGAATAATCTGAATGTATGTATGTATATAGGGTTTTTATGTGTATTTTAATAATTGGATATTTGAGTATTTAAATTGGTATTTTTTTCGATACTTATTGTTAAATATTTCAGACCACATTTGAATAGTTTTTGGAGTGAAAATGAATATTATGTACATATTTTAATTAAATAATAAATTTAATATTTTACATAATATGTTTGCGTTTAAGGGATGGTGTAGTGGATTTCAGCATAATTATTTTTAAGTTCAGGGATTATGAAAATAGAGTAGATTTTGTCAATGATATTTTTCAAATATAAAATAATGATGTCAAATGATGTTTAGCTCTAGTACAGCTCTAATTTAGTTCTAGTTCAGTTCTACTTCAGTTTCTAGTTCAGTTCTAGTTCAGTTTAGTTCAGTTCTAGTTCAGTTTTAGTTCAGTTCTAGTTCAGTTCTAGTTCAGTTCTAGTTCAGTTCTAGTTCAGTTCTAGTTCAGTTCTAGTCAGTTCTAGTTCAGTTCTAGTCAGTTCTAGTTCAGTTCTAGTTCAGTTCTAGTTCAGTTCTAGTCAGTTCTAGTTCAGTTCTAGTTCAGTTCTAGTTCAGTTCTAGTTCGTTCTAGTTCAGTTCTAGTTCAGTTCTAGTTCAGTTCTAGTTCAGTTCTAGTTCAGTTCTAGTTCAGTTCTAGTTCAGTTCTAGTTCAGTTCTAGTCAGTTCTAGTTCAGTTCTAGTTCAGTACTAGTCAGTTCTAGTTCAGTTCTAGTTCAGTTCTAGTTCAGTTCTAGTTCAGTTCTAGTTCAGTTCTAGTTCAGTTCTAGTCAGTTCTAGTTCAGTTCTAGTTCAGTTCTAGTTCAGTTCTAGTTCAGTTCTAGTTCAGTTCTAGTTCAGTTCTAGTTCAGTTCTAGTTAGTTCAGTTCTAGATCAGTTCTAGTTCAGTTCTAGTTCAGTTCTAGTTCAGTTCTAGTTCAGTTCTAGTTCAGTTCTAGTTCAGTTCTAGTTCAGTTCTAGTTCAGTTCTAGTTCAGTTCTAGTTCAGTTCTAGTTCAGTTCTAGTTCAGTTCTAGTTCAGTTCTAGTTCAGTTCTAGTTCAGTTCTAGTTCAGTTCTAGTTCAGTTCTAGTTCAGTTCTAGTTCAGTTCTAGTTCAGTTCTAGTTCAGTTCTAGTTCAGTTCTAGTTCAGTTCTAGTTCAGTTCTAGTTCAGTTCTAGTTCAGTTCTAGTTCAGTTCAGTTCTAGTTCAGTTCAAGTTCAGTTCAAGTTCAGTTCTAGTTCAGTTCTAGTTCAGTTCTAGTTCAGTTCTAGTTCAGTTCTAGTTCAGTTCTAGTTCAGTTCTAGTTCAGTTCTAGTTCAGTTCTAGTTCAGTTCTAGTTCAGTTCTAGTTCAGTTCTAGTTCAGTTCTAGTTCAGTTCTAGTTCAGTTCTAGTTCTAGTTCAGTTCTAGTTCAGTTCTAGTTCAGTTCTAGTTCAGTTCTAGTTCAGTTCTAGTTCAGTTCTAGTTCAGTTCTAGTTCAGTTCTAGTTCAGTTCTAGTTCAGTTCTAGTTCAGTTCTAGTTCAGTTCTAGTTCAGTTCTAGTTCAGTTCTAGTTCAGTTCTAGTTCAGTTCTAGTTCAGTGCTAGTTCAGTTCTAGTTCAGTTCTAGTTCAGTTCTAGTTCAGTGCTAGTTCAGTTCTAGTTCAGTTCTAGTTCAGTTCTAGTTTAGTTCAGTTCTAGTTCAGTTCTAGTTCTAGTTCAGTTCTAGTTCAGTTCTAGTTCAGTTCTAGTTCAGTTCTAGTTTAGTTCTAGTTAGTTCTAGTTCAGTTCTAGTTCAGTTCTAGTTCAGTTCTAGTTCAGTTCTAGTTCAGTTCTAGTTCAGTTCTAGTTCAGTTCTAGTTCAGTTCTAGTTCAGTTCTAGTTCAGTTCTAGTTCAGTTCAGTTTCAGTCCTAGTTCAGTTCTAGTTCAGTTCTAGTTCAGTCCTAGTTCAGTGCTAGTTCAGTTCTAGTTCATTTCTAGTTCAGTGCTAGTTCTGTTCTAGTTCAGTTCTAGTTCAGTTCTAGTTCAGTTCTAGTTCAGTTCTAGTTCAGTTCTAGTTCAGTTCTAGTTCAGTGCTAGTTCAGTACTAGTTCAGTTCTAGTTCAGTTCTAGTTCAGTTTTAGTTCTGTTTTTCACAGAATGCATTACTTGAAAATGTAAACAAGTTGTTTCTGTTATTCAGGTTTGAAAACCTAATATGAAAACCTAATAATATAGTCACTGTTCTACTTATATCTATATATTTTGAGTGCTTTTATATGTACTTAAGTTTTGCATTGGTGGTGTTAAAGTAAACACTTAAAATAGAATCAATAAAACCATAATTATGTTAATGAAGTTAAGACGACTCTAATGCAAGTTTAAATGCATTAAAGTTATAACCATCCTTTTGCCTTAGGATGGTGTAAAAAATGTAATGTTAAAATTATGTTAGCAATGGCATATGATTCTGTGTATGAGTTCGAAGGACCAAAAGCTTGATATTTATTCCTTGTGATTTAAGGATTTAATGCAGACGTTCGGAATTGTAAGGAACGATTAAGAAATTATGTATCCATTAAATTAATACCTTCTTATTATGCATCTGATTAAAAACCAATCCATTTACTTAACTACTTACATATACAAATATACACACACAATCTATCTAATTATTCCTATTTAATGTTTAAAACTGTTGTATTAAGTCCATAAACTTAAATACATACATACACATTTGTGTGTATGTATATCACCACAATCATTTAAACACCCTATTAATAACATAATTATGTTAAAATTATTACTTTTTTCAATTAGTAAAATGATAATCAAGTTGTTGATGATGTTGGCGGCTATGCCATTTACATAGATATACATACATTAATGCAGTATGCAAATGATTTAGAATATTGTATTAATATTTATTTAATGCATTTACTTTACTTGTTGTTATTTGTCTGTAAATCATTATCAAAATAATTTAATGTCAGTTAAACTGTTGACAGATTTATTATTTATATTGTATCAAGGATTAACATAGTTATTCGGTAGGGGATGAGTTGCTTTCGTATTTTAAGTAAAGGAATCTTAATAGCAATTCAAAATAAATAATAAAAATTTAAAAAATTTCTTACATTTCTTCGTAATGAGTTCGATATGTAGTTATTATAACAAACAGTTCCAATATTTGTTCCATTAAAAACAATTTAAGAATCACATATTTCAAACTAATATTAAAACCTTTTGTTGGCTAACTTATACTGATTTTTGATTAAAATTATTTCTTCCAAAAATAAGTTGCCTAAATTAATAAGCCCAATTTTCCCTGCCAACAAAAAATTATTTGTGTGTTGTCTTATTTAAGCTTGAGGCTCTTGAAAGGAATATTTTCTATTCCTTTCAAGAGCCAAAAAGTTAAGCCTTCCATATGTTTGCATTACTGAGTGTTTGTGGTTAAATCCCTATTACTGGATTTATTTTAAAAATATGTATTATTCAGACGCAAAAAGATTTTCTTGGCAAATGTAGTTTTAACAATTTAAATAATTAAAATGTATTTTTAGTAAAATTTTACAATTAACACTCATATTTAACATTCGAATGTCTTTTACTCTAGTATGGCAGCAGTTTTAGCAGGATTAGTTACCCTACACTGTAATAACATTACACTCATGAACCTAGGAGCTTGATCAATCGATTAAACATTTTACTTCAGGTCCATCTGTCTTTTTACCTCTTCATAGAAGTGGATTCTTTTCAAAGTCGCTGTCAGACTGACTGAGCAGAAGATTCGATCTATCTATCTATCTATCTATCTATCTATCTATCTATCTATCTATCTATCTATCTATCTATCTATCTATCTATCTATCTATCTATCTTATCTATCTATCTATCTATCTATCTATCTATATCTATCTATCTATCTATCTATCTATCTATCTATCTATCTATCTATCTATCTATCTATCTATCTATCTATCTATCTATCTATCTATCTATCTATCTATCTATCTATCTATCTATCTATCTATCTATCTATCTATCTATCTATCTATCTATCTATCTATCTATCTATCTATCTATCTATCTATCTATCTATCTACTATCTATCTATCTATCTATCTATCTATCTATCTATCTATCTATCTATCTATCTACTTCTAAATAATCAGTTTATTTCATAGATTAGAAAATCAGTTCATTGTAGGGCATTATAATGTCGTTCTTGACAAACAATTAATTCATACTTATTTCTGTTAAGACTTTTTTGCAAAAGATAACAACGTAAATGATGTTGACTTTCTGTGTAACTCATTTCCCTATTTTCCTCGTACAGAATATTTTCAATCTTTTTTAATTTCTCATTTTTCTTCTTTAATTTTTGCAGATTTTGGCAAGAACCACAAAACTAGTTATAAACTCTTATAAGGACGAGGACTACAACAACTGTAACAAAAGCGCTGCACTAGTTATATTGTCGAACAACAAATAACCCACTACTCTTATAAAAACCACAAACAAAAACATCCTGAACAAGAACAACAAAGAAGACGACAACACCAGCACTAGAGCGAAAACAACAACTTTTTACCCACAATTTACTATCGCACATTGTTTGTTTATTTTTTGTCACTGAGAGTGTGTCTCTGTGTGTGTAAATTCTGCTTTTGTTGTGTGTGAGAGAAAATTTAACTCATTTTCCAAAATGAATCTCGTAATGGCATCCGTGCTTTTGTTAGCCATGTTGGCATTTCAACCGACATTGATTTATGGCACAAAGAACTTGGCATCCGCTAGAAATGGCGGCGGCAGCAGCAGTCGTTTGACTAGCAACCTTAACAACAACAACCGCAATATTAGATCCTCAAAATACGGAAAGAGGCACTCCACCGAACCCTTATATTCACCCGCATTGTCTCCCACAGCGGCTAAATTAGTCATGTCTCTGGAATCGGGTGATGTATTGGTGCGTTCAGCTAGGGGTGCTGCAACAGAACAAAATCAAAACCTCTCGCCAGCTAACGGAAACAATGATGGTAAACGTCAGAAAAATAATAATAAAAAATTAAACAAAAACTTAGCCTCTCAAGAGGGTGCGGCAGCAGCAGCAGGAGCCACTCCATCATCGTCATCATCATCAGCATCATCCACAGCAACTTCCTCAAACAGACGTAAACATTTGGAAAAGAAATTTTCCGCAGCTTCAGGATTATCAGGCAATCAACAACAGCAACAGAAACAGCATCCAAATACCAATAGCAATAACAATAAAGGCAATAACAAACAACGTCAAATGCTTAAATCGCAAAATCACCAAAATAAACGTTCGGGCGGTGGCAAAGCAAACAAAGAAAACGTTGAGAAAACCCAAAGCGAAAGTGAAAAATCACGTAAGTTTTTCTTAAAAATTTTTAAAACCCATTTAAATTTACAGCAGAATAGTGTCGTAAATTTATTGAGATTTTTACTTAATTAGAATTATTTCGCTTTTAAATGTCATACTAGTCTGTAGTTTTGAATACTTAGGATTATTGGCTATTGATTTTAAGAACTGTGGATTTTATATACTTTTATAATTAATATCTCTTTAAATATTTGTCCTAGTATTTCACATCGTTGGAAAAACTACTTCCTACAAAAATATTCCTATTCCTAGACTAGTCTGCATTCTAGAGAATGGCCTAGATAATAGACAAGACAATACCTAGACTAGACAGTAGACTAGTCTATGGACTAGACATGTAATAGTTTTTATAATAGAAAATAGACTAGCCTCCAGACTAGATAATGGACTAGTCTCTAGACTACACAATGGACTAGTATCCAGACTAGACAATACACAAGTCTATAGACTAGACAATAGACTAGTTTATAGACTAAACAATAGACTAGTTTTTGGACTAGACAATAGACTAGTTTATAGACTAGACAATAGACTAGTCTATAAACTAGACAATAGACTAGTCTATAGAGTACACAATAGACTAGTCTATAGACTGGTATATGGACTAGACAATAGACTAGTCTATAGTCTAGACTAGTCTATAGACTATATAATAGACTAGTCTATAGTCTAGACCAGTCTATAGACTATATAATAGACTAGTCTATAGACTAAATAATAGATTAGCCTATAGACTAAATAATACACTAGTCTATAGACTAGTCCATAGACTAGACAATAGTCTATAGACTAGACAATAGACTAGTCTATAGACTAGATAATAGACTAGTCTATAGACTAGATAATAGACTAGTCTATAGACTAGATAATAAACTAGTCTATAGACTAGACAATAGACTAGACAATAGACTAGTGTATAGACTAGTCTATACACTAGTCTATTGTCTAGTCTATAGAGTAGGCGATAGATTAGTCTATAGACTAGACGATAGATTAGTCTATAGACTAGACGATAGATTAGTCTATAGACTAGACAATAGACTGTTTATAGACTAGTCTATAGACTAGACAATAGACTAGTCTATAGACTAGACAATAGACTAGTCTATAGACTAGACAATAGTCTAGTCTATAGACTAGACAATAGTCTAGTCTATAGACTAGACATTAGTCTAGTCTATAGACTAGACAATAGTCTAGTCTATAGACTAGACAATAGACTAGTCTATAGACTAGACAATAGTCTAGTCTATAGACTAGACAATAGTCTAGTCTATAGAGACTAGACAATAGTCTAGTCTATATACTAGACAATAGACTAGTCTATAGACTAGACAATAGACTAGTCTATAGACTAGACAATAGACTAGTCTATAGACTAGACAATAGACTAGTCTATAGGCTAGACAATAGACTAGTCTATAGGCTAGACAATAGACTAGTCTATAGACTAGACAATAGACTAGTCTATAGACTAGTCTATAGACTAGATAGTAGACTAGTATATATACTAGATAGTAGACTATTGTCTAGTCTATATACTAGATAGTAGACTATTGTCTAGTCTATAGACTAGTCTATTGTCTAGTCTATAGACTAATATATTGTCTAGTCTATAGACTAATATATTATCTAGTCTATAGACTAGTCTATTATCTTGTCTATAGACTAGTCTACTATCTAGTATATAGACTAGTCTACTATCTAGTCTATAGACTAGTCTACTATCTAGTCTATAGACTAGTCTACTATCTAGTCTATAGACTAGTCTACTATCTAGTCTATAGACTAGTCTACTATCTAGTCTATAGACTAGTCTACTATCTAGTCTATAGACTAGACAATAGTCTAGTCTATAGACTAGACAATAGACTAGTCTATAGACTAGACAATAGTCTAGTCTATAGACTAGACAATAGACTAGTCTAGTCTATAGACTAGACAATAGACTAGTCTATAGACTATAGACTAGCCTAATGTATAGTCTATAAACTAGCCTGATGTATAGACTAGACTATTGTCTAGTCTATAGACTAGTCTATTGTCTAGTCTATAGACTAGTCTATTGTCTAGTCTATAGACTAATATATTGTCTAGTCTATAGACTAATATATTATCTAGTCTATAGACTAGTCTACTATCTAGTCTATAGACTAGTCTACTATCTAGTCTATAGACTAGTCTACTATCTAGTCTATAGACTAGACAATAGTCTAGTCTATAGACTAGACAATAGTCTAGTCTATAGACTAGACAATAGACTAGTCTATAGACTAGACAACAGTCTAGTCTATAGACTAGACAATAGACTAGTCTATAGACTAGACAATAGACTAGTCTATAGACTAGACAATAGACTAGTCTATAGACTAGACAATAGACTAGTCTATAGACTAGACAATAGACTAGTCTATAGACTAGACAATAGACTAGTCTATAGACTAGACAATAGACTAGTCTATAGACTAGATAGTAGACTAGTCTATAGACTAGATAGTAGACTAGTCTATAGACTAGATAGTAGACTAGTCTATATACTAGATAGTAGACTAGTCTATAGACAAGATAATAGACTAGTCTATAGACTAGATAATATATTAGTCTATAGACTAGACAATATATTAGTCTATAGACTAGACAATAGACTAGTCTATAGACTAGACAATAGACTAGTCTATAGACTAGACAATAGACTAGTCTATAGACTAGACAAAAGACTAGTCTATAGACTAGACAAAAGACTAGTCTATAGACTAGACAAAAGACTAGTCTATAGACTAGACAAAAGACTAGTCTATAGACTAGACAAAAGACTAGTCAATAGACTAGACAAAAGACTAGTCAATAGACTAGACAATAGACTAGTCTATAGACTAGACAATAGACTAGTCTATAGACTATAGACTAGCCTAATGTATAGTCTATAAACTAGCCTGATGTATAGTCTATAGACTAGTCTACTGTCTAGTCTATAGACTAGTCTATTGTCTAGTCTATAGACTAGTCTATTGTCTAGTCTATAGACTAGTCTATTGTCTAGTCTATAGACTAGTCTATTGTCTAGTACGTTTGTCTAGTCTATAGACTAGTCTTTTGTCTAATCTATAGACTAGTCTTTTGTCTAGTCTATAGACTAGTCTTTTGTGTAGTCTATAGACTAGTCTTTGTCTAGTCTATAGACTATAGACTATACATAAGGCTAGTCTATAGACTATACATTAGGCTAGTCTTTAGACTAGACATTAGGCTAGTCTATAGACTAGACATTAGGCTAGTCTAATTTAGACAACTGGCATCTAATCCAGTTACTAGATCATGGAAAAGTCGTTAGATTAGCTCATAGGCTTCTTACTTTTCCTAAGCTTTAGTTATCTCGAGTCTATAAATATTAACAAAAAAAACATAAATTCTTCCTAATAAAAACCACCTTTCTGCCATTTTTATTCTAAATGCCACCGTTTTTAGAAAAGATAATGTTTATCATTTACGGCTTTTCGTCAAGGCTTTATATACATAAGTACAAGTAAAATTTTCTGCCCTTATAAAAGTCAACTACGAAAAAAGACATCCCCTATAGATCGCATTTCCACATTCTTTGTCGTCTAATAATAAATAGTTACATTTTGTTCACATTTCAATCCCATCAAATTATCATGTAATTTATAGTCTTAAATCCTTAGCTCATTCATTGATATTAATATATATTTTTTTAAAGAATTTGTTTGCCATTTTATTTTCTATTTCGTACTCTACTCTATGACCGATTTAAGGAAATGAAATCAAGAAGGGAAAAAAAAAAGGACTGCTTATCTATGCCAACAGAATAATCTTAAAGTTGTGTAAGACTAAAAGCGAAAAAAAAAGAAGAATTTTAATGTTACAATCTTTAACATTAACATTTTTGTACATCATCAAGCAAAATGTGATTTTTGTTTGGCCTTAAAAAAAAGGGAAACCGTTCTACAATCGTATAGGAAATACGTTGAGTTTAGTTGGGGATTACAAATTTTTTAAGGAATTACAAAAATTCGAATATGAATAAGGACTAAATATATGATTAGCTGTAGTTCAAAAATATTGATTCTAAGGTCAATTCTAAGTTTAATTTCAATTACTATTTGAATAGTTCACTTCTTTAGAAGTTCTTATTCCTATTATTACTTAGTAAGTAGTGGCTTTAAAAGTCACTTTAGCTTTCTTAGAAATTTATTTGATTTCAATGAAAATTTACTTAAAAATCCCTTAAGATTTTATTTTCCCCTACATAAACTCAAATTTTATTTGGGTACATTTTCCCAAAAAGGAAGAGAAAAATGTGGCAAAAACAAGAAGACCAAAGATGTCATAGAAAAAAAGGATACATTATTGTGTTCTTTTTTATTATTTAGTTTCTTTTTATGTTAAAAAAAGGATTTTGAACATTGTTATCAGGGTTATTGGCTACAAAATAAAAGGATGTTTTTTTTGTCTACATATTAAAAAGATCCTGGCATGATATAAAGGAAGTTTAAAATGTTTGCTTGTTATTTTATTAACACAGTTTTTTTTTCCTTTTTTGCGGTGTTTGGCCTTTGGTTAAAGTGAAATTTACATTATATGCTGTTTTAAATGAATAAGTTTCTTTCTGTTCTGTTTTCATTTAAGGATTTCATGTCCTTTCATAATTAATCATGCATATACCAATTTCATATTTAATATTTTTTTTTTCTGCGCTTGGTGGAGTAAAGACAGCGTGGAAAAAGAATGTGTGTTAATGAAATGTGCTCATTTTTCACTTCATATACTTATAGAGAAATAAATATACGAAAGAGGGAAAAATTATTATGTGAATTATAATTTTCAGCTATTTTCTCCATCCCTATAACTGATTTTTTGTAGATATTTCCAAAAAACCAGTATTTAGTTGGGTATATGAATGTATGTTATTCACACATACATATCTATATGTATGTATTAGAAACAGGAACGTACATATATAGTGGGTAA